TTGAAGCGGAGCTACTGCAGGGCTCCTAATTTGCAAAGTTTTTCCGCTCTCTGAACTTTAACCCTGCCGCAGGTGTTAAAAATGATTTGCAAAATGTAAAACTTTTCGTTATAAATTCCCAGTCATATATAACTAACTAACAAACAACAAAAACAACAAAAAAAAACACCACGCTTCGCCAAAGAAGTTAAAATTGCTCAAGTTTTATACACATTTTTGTTTTTGGTTATATTTTGTTGTGAAATATGCAGAAAGTTGAATAAAATGCAAGGAATTCGCACAGCTCTAAATTATATTTTGTAGTTTTCAAGGGAATGCTGAATATAAATAGTACATCAAATTAGTAAGAGATAAAAGGGAGAGTAACTCAGAGTAAAAACATTACAAGGAAATATGATTTAAAGTAACTTTCAGATGGGGGAGTCATTTGTACCATTTGAAGCACCACTTGTACAAATTTGTCACCAGACTATCTCCAGAGAGCTAAGGAATTTTCTCACAAGTTAAATTTCTCTCTGTTGACTCTGTCTGTGGGTTCTATTCATTCCACAAAAGAAAATATACCAAATTTGAAAAGTATTCGTGTTGGCAGAAGCGAACAGAGACTTGACCACTAGACGTTCGCTTCAACTCAAATGAATCGTTTATGGAAACAGTTCAAGCAAGCGGTAAGGATATCGAAGAACCATCACGGAGCCCAACAAAGACGTGCCAAAAATACCGATTGAATGACCCTTTCTTTGACACTGAAATGGATAATTTGGGAAACTTTCGAACATAAAACCATCACAATTCAAGTGCAAAATTTGAGAGTCCTTTCCGCCGCTCGGCATAAATCTTAACTGTCGTGGACCTGACTGTGAATTTGAGAACGCCCACACCATGGCATAGATCCATTTAGTGCACAAAATATTTAAAGTCTATTTGTTAGAGCAAAAACAAAGGAAAACCCAGGGAAAAAAGCACACACACGGAAAAGCAGACAAAGGCAACCACAGTGCCACCTGCGCGATGAGCACCAAAAAGACTAGTGAAAATGCTTTCCTAGTAGATATTACTTATGACTATACGATACCCCACCGTTAGTAGGTGGATAGAGAGAGTCGCTATGCTTGAGAGTGCATATGGCTACCAATGAGTTTCCTGATTTCCCTCAACTTTGCAGCTGCTCTGAGTCATTCCCTTTTTCCACCAGTATAGTACGAGTTCAGGGCATCAGAGAGTGGGTCAGCTGACAGCGGTAGCATGAGCAGGCGAAAAGCAAACCTCAAAAGCGAAACCAAAAATTTAGCAACTGACTTCATGGGAACTCGGCAAACATGCAAACGCATGCAACGTGGGTGCAAAAGAGGAAACACAAAAGCAAAGAGCTAACAAGTGAGTGTGCCACAGTCGCGTTAATCGACTAGACGAAGCCCACTAGTCAAACAGGACTGATATAACTTCTCATGAATTTTGTATAGTTTTTATAAGATTATAACACAACCATAAATATAAATTGAAGTTTTTAATACACCATTCTGTGGCCTTTCACATACACCATGAGTCGAGCATACTCCTCCCCTCGTGGTTTTTTGTTTAAAGAGCAAAAGAGCATACTGCGGCATCACACTCTCTCTTTGTGCTTTTGTGCTCATTGCTCGCTTTTCTCATGTAGCAGGTATATACATTCATGGCTTTTGCAGAGTGCAATTTAAATATTGCAGATATATGTTTGCTTATTCAAACATTTAGCGAATTGAACCATTTAGAAGGTGCATGGCCGGCCAGGGCAATGGGTTAAAGAGTTGTCTGCGGTTTTGATTGATTGATATTTGCTTAGCTTAATATCTATGCAAATGGAGCTGTACGAGCCGTTATGAAAACAGTGCCTGCAAAAAGTAAGTGGCTGACAAATTTGCTGGAAAGTCAAAGAGGTGCCAACAGTTTGGCCAAAAAATATTATTATTATTTTTATTCCCAGTGTGACACACTACAAAGAGTGTCTTTTTGGGTTCTATCAGGCGCGACTCACAAAAAATTGGCATATTTACCCTGCATGCAATATTGAGGTTTTGCCTGGCTCAGGCCGAAGATTAACTGCAGACACTGTCGCCAAGACCATTTCCCGTCGGTTCCGCTCCACGGCCATATGCACGGCACGTATTCGAATTTGAATTATGGCTGCTGCGCCGTAGAGCCATGACTGGGACACACACACACACACACACCCATTCCAGACGTCAGACGATGTCGGAGAGAGGAAAATAAATAAATTTATAACGAATAAAGCCCGCTCATTCACCCCGACTCTACTCTACTCGTTTGGGTATTCCCTTCATCGACCCACACATTCGTTTCGTTTCGACGCGACTTAGAAATCCGCTTTGAGAAATCCTCATTTTGCACTGATACATAAATTAGACAGACACGGCCACGCCCACTAATCATGGCGCTAAGGCGTGCGTCAAGGCGGAAATTGTGAGCCGATTAAATTGGCAATCAACTGAAAAGGCAGCAGCAGCAGCAGCAGCAGGATGATTTTCACTGGCTGCCGTAGCTCTCATCTTTTCTGCCAGCAAAATGGCATAATTACATGTAACTAGCCGAAAAAAGTTTACATTTATGAGCCAGGGGGCTGTTAGATATCCGTATACGTATATACCTTGATATTTTCACCGTTTAGGGTGGAGTGCGGGACTAAGCCATCAAGCAAGCGGGAGCTATTTATGCCGCCATCAACGTGGCGGAGTTGCAGAGTGTGGCAGGAGGGGCAGTGGGGGAAAGGATGAGTGAGTTTCAGCGTGTGGAAAGGAGGACTGAATGTAGGTGAGTTTTGGAAGGCAAATGGCGGTGTTGACACACTTTTCCTGGTCCCCCAGCTGTGCTCTGAATATCAACTCCCGTCATAACATAACGAAAAATGTTCTAGAATGTTGCGTTATGCTAAATTATGACTGAAAAATGGCGCAAAAGTCCTTGAAATGAAGCAATGGAGAAAGTAGTGAGCATTTCTAGGGAATTTTTAAAATAATTTTAAAGTTGTTAAAGCGAAGCCAGACAGAGAAGTGAAGTTGCAAAAGTGTTAAAAAAGGAAACTTCAATCCTCCTGTAAAAGTGAGAAACTATCCTCTCATTGACCACAGAGCAATCTGAGGAGTAACCAAACCAAGTTACGTTCTTTGTGGTTACTGCTCTCTGTTTTTCTCACTCAACACTCAAGAAGGATAAGGATGAGCAGAACAAGTAGCAATTGAAGCTGACCTTTTCCGCACTTTGACCTGCCACAAAGTACGAATAAGAGGTGCAGAGGCAGAGGCACAACTCCACTCTCTGATTGCAATTGACCTCGAGAGTCCCGGACTCGCCAACTCATTTGCCCCAGCTGACGGACAGCCAAACGGACAAACAGACGGGCGCGGGGCAAAGCTCATCCAGACACCATCTGGGCATATTTTAATTACCATTTAGGCAAACACAAAAAAAACCAAAGAGAGAAACCAAAGAGAACATTAAAAGTAAACTGCAGAGGCCCTGCCCTGATCCCTGACCCTGGCCCGTCTGCTTTCAACTTTCCCCTTAAATGGGGTTGGTGTGGGCGGTGAATGCGGCAAATGTTGTTAGAATATTAATTCGCCTTTGGTCCATATTTAAGGAGCTTAATGAACTCGAATCGTGGAGACTAAAGTTGCAAGAAATCTACTTAATTTGCCTCAAAGACTATTCCCAATCAATGGCTCGCGCAGGGGAAGGGCAGGGCAGGGCCGGGCAAAGCAAACAAAACTTTTTTAGTGCCGCATCTTTTCTCTGTCTGTTTCTCTCGCTCCCTTGATATTTGTTTATTCTTTGAACTTCTCCAATTAAAAGTAAATATTGTGAGTAGTTTATCTCGATTTCATTCAGGCCAATCCAGGACGTGGATAAACCCCAACCCTTCAATGCCATGACGTGCACACTGCCGTACTCCCCGTTTGCATAGTTGGCCATATCATCCACCCAGCTCCTCGACCAACTTTCTGCCAAGGGGCGGACAAGGACTCCTTCTTCTCGCTTACATTTCGCACGCAATCGGGGCAAAAGTAGTATAGTTCATAGCTTAGGCTTTCCCATTTCCACTCTGAAGCTTTCGCTTTGTATTCGCATCTGTATCTGATTTCCACTTCAATCCAGACAACTCCTCCGGCTCCAACTTTTGGCTGAAACTTTGCTTTTGTGAGTAATTTAATGCCTTTTAAAGCGACAGCGACCAGAACCCCCAAACAACATTCCCTCTATCTCATCGTAGCACTACTTATTCTGTGCATCCTGCTGGAGTTGCGGTGAGTGGCAGTACTTCAGTTTGGTAAAAAAAGATAGTTAGTCGTGAGACCTGTCATATGTATGATGAAATTTTAAGAAATAATGTTGAAGCAGAAGTGGCAGCAGCATTGCACGTTTCTCTCTTGAGAAATCATACAAATATCTTTCGATTTCAGAACACTGTTTTATCTAATTGTGTTATCTCGAGGAAAATAAAGTTATTTTCAAGTTGAGGCAAAGTGAGAGTGAAAACTAACTAACTTGTCTAACAGAAAGTTTGGCTACCATTACAGCACATCTCCCAGGCAACAAACCCCCACCATTTCTACAATTTCCACACAGACACTGGGAATCACGTTTGCAGCTAGCAAAAATATGGAATAATTTTATTTACGTCCCAAACTTTGTAGCCACAAAATCATATGAGTAACTGCCACGTAAAAAGTGGGTGGAAGAAGGTGAACCCAAGCCGTTGCCGTTGCCGTTGCCGTAAGGTGCAGAAACTGGAAAAGCATAAAGACCACGAGTAAAAACTTTATGTGCGTATCCCAGAGACGATTCCAGACAACTGCCGGAGTTAAGTTTACTTTATTTTGGCAGCCAAAACTCCAGCGGGAATGAAATAATAAAAACTCTAATTAATGCGAAATGCGAATGGGAAATATTTTTGAATATGTGCTTGAGTGTGTGAGTGTCTGTCGGTGTTTATATAGAATTAACTGTTGGCATCTATTCCTTGCCACCAGTCAGCTCTGCCTCGATTTGCTCCAGGGACTTGCCCTTAGTTTCGGGCACATACAAAATGACAAAAACCAAGGCTATAATGCAGAACACACAATATACGGAAAATGCGCCATAGCTATTGATCAGAGCTGAGGGAGAACTGATTAAACAAAACATAAACTGCCTAAAAAAGGACTCACAAATCATATCCACAAAAGTTTTGGTGACTATAAAGGTGCAAAGCCAATTGAAAGCGGTGGCCATAGAGGCAGCTGGAGCACGGACACTGGCCGGCATTATCTCGCCCATCATTAGCCAGGGAATGGGTCCAAAGCCCACGGAGAAGCCTAGTACATAGAATCCGGCGGCCAAAAGTGGCAGCCAACCGACACCCGACAAATCCCAACCCTTGTGCTTGCCCAGAAAGTAGATGGCCAGCGTGAGTAGCGTGATAATCATGGTTATATCGGAAATATAAAGCAGTACCTGAATATATCATTAAAATTAGATTATAGCCAACCAAGGATCGCAGATCTCACCTTGCGTCCAATGCGATCAATGACAGCTGTGGCTATAAGAGTGGCCGAAAAGTTGACCACACCCACAATGACCGTGGCAATGGCCGGCTCAATGGTGGAGCCGGCATCCAAAAAGATCTGCTGGGTGTAGAAGATCACCACATTGATGCCGCTCAGCTGCTGGAACAGCATCAGGCCAAGGGAAATGAGAATGGGCTTGCGGTTGCGCTTCTTGAACATGTCCCCGTACGTGCTTTTGGCATTGGCCTTCTCGCCCTGTGTGCTGGCCAGCTCCTTCATCTCTGCATCAATGTCGCCGTGTTTGCCACGCAGCCAGGCGAGCGACTTCTGGGCCTGCTCTGTCTTGCCGCGCGACAGAAGGTAGCGCGGTGTCTCCGGCACGAACAGCATCAGAATGATGAAGGGAATGCAGAAAACGGCCCCAGCGAAGGCCAGAAGGTACCAGTTAAGGAAGGAACCAAATGCATAGCAGAGCAGCAGGCCCCCGTTGCCCAGTAGCGTTGGCATCAGTCCCAAAGATCCACGCACCTGTGGATGCAACGTTTCGCCCAGATAGACGGGCAGGACCATGGTGGCCAGTCCCACGGCCAGGCCGCAGAAAGCGCGACCCGCCAGCACCATGCCAATAACTGTGGCGGTGCCGATCAGCAGCCAGCCAATAATGAACGGCGGTGCCGTTACCATAATTGTCCACTTCCGGCCAATATACATGATCAGCAGGCCGCCCAGAATGCCGCCCACCAGGCAGGCCAGTGGCATGAGTCCCCCCACCCAGGACTCTTGCTGCGGAGTGATAAGGAACTTGCCATCCTTGCCCTTCATCGAGGGCAAGGCCGGAGAGGTGTACGCACCACAGAAACCAGTGCAGAACGAACACAAGGAGACGGACACAGCGACAAGGAGCTGCAGCACGAGGCAGGTGAGGTTTCCCAGTTGGTTGTACCATTAAAAATGCACTCACCTGTCTCCAAGTGAAGTAGGTTGGCTTTTCTTCCCTAACATCATCCTTGGGCGGCATGTTGTAGGTCTGCAAAGAATTGTGTGTAGGTTTTAATATTGTGAATATATACGAGTTGGAAATGGAATGTTTGTGTCTGACTTTGAAGGTATTCCCAATGCAAGTAATTTTCAAACACACAATGGCCCCCTAACTTGTACCACACTGAAAAAACAGTTCAGAACTTGACCATCAAACGACCCTAGTAACTTTTTCTGAAACATTTTGCGGCTGCACATTAAAGTGTTGATGGCCCAGTTGACTGCAGCAACCTTGGGCCAGTCCACTCCATTCGCATTTCCCATTGTTTTGTCTCCACGCCATTGTTTTGAAGCCCGGGCCTTCGTTTGGCCTCTGCCTCGACGACGACGGCTCATTAAAAATTCCATTTTCATTTTGCCCATCATCCATTTTGATTTCATAGTCGAGTGGCTGGCATTGGGTGGGCTTGGATTGGATTGGGTGGCACTCGCTGTCGCAGTCGCAGTCGTGGTACTTTGGATTGGATTGGATGGGAGAGCCAGGACCATGAACTACGCTTTCCAGACTGCCGACACAAGAGTTTTCAAGAGTTTACATTCTTGCACATTGACTTCGCTGAAACTTTCACTTTGGCTTTCGTCTGGCCGTTTGCATTTTTGCAACGCTGGCAATTCGATATTTAATTCATATTCCGCACAGACTCCTCGCCCACTTCCCTGCTTGCAGAGAACGGCAGCGTAATTAAAAAATAAATACGAGAATTATGAAAATTCTCGATATATATACATATTTCGCCGCAAATACGAGTATGAGTGAGCCAAGCCATGCATTCACCATGCATCCGGGACGGGACCGGCCCACGAACTGGCCGCAGTGGCTCAGACCGACGTAGTGCCGGAGGGAGGCTGGTGGCGGCTGAAAACAGTTGCCACAGTTAATTATTTGCCCGAATCGTTTGGCGAACGTGACGTATGCGTAATTTTTCTACCCACGAACGCTTCACTGATGAATTGTTTGCCCAGCGCTCAATCAATATATGTATGCATGCCAACGATATATGCATGTAGGCTACCATGTACAATGTAAATGTGTGCCGCTACATATTTGCACTCGTTTATCCATAAATATATTTATTCATTCACTTTAAAGGTCATGACGGTTCCACACAAATTAAACAACAAAACTGTTCTAGTTTTACTTAAAGCGCAGGTGCCTTAGACTTGACAATCAATTCATTAACTTCATTCATAACAATAACTACGATTAATACACTGACTAGAACATAGCATGGCCGATAAGATAGGGACATGCATCATTGGATCTGGCAATTGGGCCACGATTATAGCGCGTAATGTCGGCAGGAATGTGGCCTCAATGTCCAACACAATGGAGCCAAAGGTCTTTATGTATGTGTACGAAGAAATAGTCGATGGTCGCAAGCTTACAGACATCATCAACACCACACACATCAATGTGAAGTACATGCCTGACTTTGAGTTGCCGCCAAATATTGTAAGGGTCATTAGATCCATTGGCGGATTCATCTCGCAGAACCCTTTTTTGTATAGGTAGCTGTGGATGATATTGTGACTGCTGCCAGGGACTCCGACATTATCATATTTGCCATACCCCCGACCTTTGTGAGCAGCTGCTGTAAGACTTTGTTGGGCAAGGTGAAGCCCACGGCGCATGCCGTCTCTCTCATCAAAGGATTCGAGCGGGGAGACGATGGACAAATCATTCTGATCTCTCAGATCATTATGCGGCAGCTGAAGGTTTCCTGCTCCGTTATGGTGGGTTGCAATTTGGCCCACGAGATAGCGAATGATAACTTCGCTGAAGGCACTGTGGGCTGTCGGGATCAGAAGTACTACCGCGTGCTCCGTGACATCTTCAAGTCGCCCACGTTTCGTGTGGTGGTAACCGAGGATGCTGACTGTGTGGAGATCTGCTCCACTCTGAGGGTGAGTTTCAATCCCCTCTTAAAGTGCTTTCACTTTCAATAATCCCTTAGAACATTATTGCATTTGCTGCCGGCTGCTCTGATGGCATGGAACTGAACGAGAACACCAAGGCGGGCATCATTCGCAGGGGTTTCCTGGAGATGCTGCAGTTTGTGGATGTCTTCTATCCGGGCTGCCGCATGGGCACCTTCTTTGAGGCCTGCGGCATATCCGATCTGGTCACCAGCTGTTATGGTAATTTTTTTTGCCTTAAATACAAACATAAATTAAGCTAAGGAAATGTTATTCCATAGCCAATCGCAATCGGAAGCTGGCGGAGGCCTTTGTGAAAACTGGAAAACCTCTGAGCGAACTCGAGCATATACTTATATCGGGCCATGAGCCCCTGGGTCCAGTCACTGCCGAATTGGTTCACATTCTGCTCAAGAAAAAGGGATTGGTGGATAAGTGCGTTTGTGCAGCTTTTAGTTTTCGTCTTCTAATGGATTTTAACTCTCCCCCTTGGCAGATTTCCACTATTCACAACAGTGTACAAGATTTGCATGGGTGATCTACCGCTGACGCGTCTCGTGGAGTCGCTGTGTCAGGCCAGTGAAGATATGTAAGATATTCCTAATCGGCTTTGGTATTTCACGCTAATCGAAGTATTTTTTCCATTGCAGCTTCCATCCGCAACACACTTTCCAACTTTGAAGGCATATATTTTTAGCAGTTGAAAATAAATAAAAACCAAACAGAACAAACAGCAATTTACTTGATTCGTTTTTTATATTATGCAGTGAAATGGGGCATATAAAGCCTTGGTTATACCGGCAAATGCAGGACTCAATATACAAACAAAGCCCCTCGACATCTGCATTGTACAAGTATTGTGTGCGTCTTTTCTTTCTGCAGTTCAAGTGTTCCTTTGCGGAGAGTGCACTCCATTGAATGCACCAACGCTCCGAGCACTTGTTGGACTGTTCTGATGACTCGTACAACGGAAATCACTTCAAACAGAGGCTCGCTCGCTCGCTTGGCAACCAGAGGGCTTTATGTGTTTCCTCACAAAATGCTTTCATATTGTTTCTCGTTTCTCAAAACTGTACACACAATAGTTTTTCCATTCTTCGTCTAGATGTGGTATTGTACTGCAGTTGAAGTGCTCCCCAATCGAAATTGAGGAAATGGGAGCAACCACTGGAGGACATGTCAAGACGCCCCTCCTCAAAACCGAGCCACACACTTTCAGGGTTCAATCAACTCTGGCACGATCTATTGAATTTAAATCAAACTATCGTAGAGCATTCATTCGACAGTTCATTTCAATCGACAAAGGGAAGCATTTCCAAAATGTTCTCAACCGGCTGCAATATTCTGTTGACTTGCGCCGCTTCGATTTGCTTCATTACCATCGCCTGGAGGCTGATCGAACCGCAGGATGACATCATAGTTATCGAGTCCAACATGCTGCTGAAGAGAGCCAAACACATAATGTATGAGACTCTGTACTACTTCCGCGAGGATCTGCGTCCAAAGGCACCACAAAATTGGTTCGAGCGCCACATCGTTTGGAAATTTCGAATGCTTTTCTAAGGGGATACTAATTATTTGATTGCAAATACCCAAAAAATATACACAAGGGCGATTAAACAAATCAAAATCATGCTGCAAAACTCTACAAAGTCATCGTACACATCCCTAGATTAATCCACTCGATTCGATTGTTGTGCAATAAATTTTTTATGCAATTCATTTAGTTTCTAGCTTTTGCATTTTCTGGCGGCATAATTAAATGTAAATGAAAATGACAAAGGATTAGCGCGTGGTCTGATTGCATGCGGATCATACAAAGGGGATTTGTTGAAATGTCAAAATTGCTCAATTTGATTATGCCACCAAACACACCATTTAAGCCATTCTGATGGCTAACAATTTTATTTGATTGTTGCATTGTTGTCAACAGTTTTACTTTTCAATTGCTCTTTTTTCAACAGCTAATGGCATAAACAAGCAGCATAATTGATAAACAAAAAAACGTTATTAAAAGAAGGAATGGAAAGGCAAAAGAGTCACAACAGAAATCCCTACATTTCCAGATACAGAGCCACTAAACATTGTTTAATTTCTGATATTTATTCTACGGTTAGAACAACATACCAACAGAAATTACTCGTATCTGTTCGAAAGGGAATGCAATTTCTGTGCAGATTTATTTGAAATTTAATTTTTAGTAAAAACTAGCAAATATTCGCACATTCCAATTGCTTTATTAGTTCGTTTTGCATTTTCAGTTTGGTGCAAATATGGAGCTTACGTGTGGAGTTGTTGCAAGCGCAAAATTGGTAGCTTAAAATGGAAATGAAATTCCACAACTGTCTGGCGGAGGAGGCGTTCTGTTTCGGACGCCGCTGGCTAAACAAATATGCCAGTGCCCCGGGGGCAGAGCAAATATAACTAGACTAGCCCTCGGGTGCAGTCAGTCGGACATGGAAACCCGATGAAAATTTGCATATCAGCCGGCAACCAGAGCGGTACAAACTCGTGCCATATTTGCCCATTTCTTGTTGCATTACTGGACGAAGGGAGCTCTGGCTTAAAGCCCTCTGACTCGACTCGTAGTTCGTTTTTGCAGATAATTACACGGTAAATTTGGCAAAATGTGACGCCCAATAGCAAACAAGATGCCACCGAAGACTGAAACAAGTTGCACGTACATATGTATCCGTGTATACAGATGCTCGTAGTGGCTGCTGCAAAAACAGATACGAGTAGTAGCACGCTTTGTGCCACAGTTACACCTTCCCGAAACGAGAGAGAGAGAGAGAGAGAGATAGAGGGAGTAGAGGGAGAGAGCGAGAGCGATGTGCAAGCACTTCAAAAAATAAATAACAATTTGGTACGTTACACACGTCTCTGGCTTATGCAAACGTATCTGTATCGTGCTCCCTCTCCAGCTGTGTGTGTGTGCCTAAAAAGAATACTTCATTTCATTTCGTGTTGAACATGGCCAAAAGCCACCACTCCCACCCACTCCCTGTGCAAACACCACCGACAAATGGCAGCAGCAGTGGGGTTGGTGGTGGCGCCGCTTTGTTGATTTGGTTATTGTGGCTGCCAGTCTTGTCTTGTTTGCCCTCAAATTGAACAAATAGCTAAAACAATCTCGGTCTAGTAAAAGATTCCTTCCTTCCTGGTCTTGCATATTTGCTACTGTCTTACAAGCTCCTAAGCCATAGAATGTCCTAATCAGCCAAGAGCTCTTATTTGTCACTCAATTTGCCACATCGGGTCACCACCGTCGGGGAAGTTCATTCCACAGAACCATAGGGAATCATTTACGATACACTTTTCCCCTTTATCAACACTCTTTCGAAATGTTTGTCGTATCCGTTTTTAAAATAATCGAAGCACCTCCATTCCGTACAAATTGAAATGTTCCATAGTTTTGGTCAAATTCGCAGTATAAACACATAAAAATTGGTTGTAGAAATCAAAAGAGCAAGCCTACAAATATCGTCTTTCTCGTGTCTCATTCGGCGGCCACATGGATGTGCTCTCTATCACGCAGAAGGTGCTCGTACGCCGCACGGATGGACGGGTCCATTTGGCGAGTATCATCAAGCTGGATGGCGGAGTCAACAACTCCGTAACCGTGGAGTGGTGCGAGGGCGATTGCATGCGTGGCAAGGAGATTTCACTGCCTCAGATCATCGAAATGAATCCGGAAATCTTCGAGGTACAGCGAAAAGAACAATCTGAACAGCGCAAAGGGCACTTGGCAGGCATGGTGCCCATTCCACCCAGAGCTACCACAATGAGCGCCACGAAGCTGTGGAACACCCTGATGCAACGTCTGCCGGCTGGCGGTACACCCATCCCGATGAGGCGCCTGAAGGTGGGCAGTGCCACGCCCAGACAGCGCTCGCCCAGCCGGCAGGAGCGGCATCAGCAGCGGGAGGTTCGCGGTGGATCTGATCGGTGTGACTCCAACTGGGACACGGCCAGGATGATCCACTTGTATCGGCTGCAGATGGAGAGCCGGCCACTGGAGGATCTTGGCTTTCCGGGACCCCTCAAGCGGCACGGCATCATGGTGTGTGTGCGAAAGCGCCCACTCAGTCGGAAGGAGCTGGCCGAGCGCGAGCTGGACGTGATCAGCATGCCCCGTGCGGACATGCTGGTGGCGCACTCGCCGCGCCGGCACGTGAACCTGGTGCGATTCCTCGAGAACCACAACTTTCGCTTCGACTGCACCTTCGACGAGGCCTGCTCGAACGCCACCGTCTACAACTACACGGCGCGTCCGCTGATTCGGCACATCTTCGACGGCGGCATGGCCACGTGCTTCGCTTACGGCCAGACCGGGAGCGGCAAGACCCACACCATGGGCGGAGAGTTCACGGGTAAGCAGCAGAACGTGATGGACGGCATCTATGCGATGGCTGCCAACGATGTGTTCTGCACTTTGGAGGAGCCGTCGAATGCCAGCCTGGGACTGAAGGTGACCTGCAGCTTTTTTGAGATCTACGGATCGCGGATCTACGACCTGTTAACGCCTGGCAAGGAGCAGCTACGCGTCCTCGAGGATGGCCACCAGCAGGTGCAGGTGGTGGGACTCGCCGAGCGGCCGGCGCGCAACACCGCCGATGTCCTGGCGTTGTTGGAGCTGGGCAACTGTTTCCGGACCTCGGGCCAAACCTCGGCCAACTGCAAGTCCTCACGCTCCCACGCCATATTCCAGATTGTTCTGCGCTCCGCGGAGACATTTCGTCTCCATGGAAAGCTTTCGCTAATCGATCTGGCCGGCAACGAGCGGGGAGCAGACAACTCCAGTGCGGATCGCAGGACACGCCTGGAGGGCGCCGAGATCAACAAGTCGCTGCTGGTGCTCAAGGAGTGCATCAGGGCCTTGGGTCGCCAAGCGTCCCACATACCCTTCCGCGGCTGCAAGCTCACACAGGTGCTGCGCGACTCCTTCATCGGCAAGAAGGTGAAGACCTGCATGATAGCGACGATCTCGCCGGGTCTGCGCTGCGTGGAGCACACCCTGAACACCCTCCGCTATGCGGATCGCGTCAAGGAGCTCACAGCACAAACAGTGTTCCCAAAGGCTCGCCTGGCTCGAGCCAATTCCATGGAGGCAGCCCCATCCTTGTCGGCTAGCAGCCTGCAAATGCATTGCCTACCTGATATCATTAGTCCCACCCAGGCCTCGCAATCCCTGACCAATCTGGAGTGGTTTGTCTCCTCCACATCGCTGCAGGACGCAGAAAACCGGTCGACTCGTCGATCCCTGGATATGGAGACTCTGACTTACTGCAAAAATCCCAAAGAGAACAGAAGACCCGAACAGAGGCAGTCAGCGAAACCGGAGGTGACCCCCAGGAACTCGGAGGCATTCCAAGATGCCTCGCTGATGATGGCCAAAGCCTTGGACTTGGTTAACAAATCCCATGGTTAAGATTTCTAAGACATGATTTCTACAACACACAAACATATCCATATAACAAAATTTGGATCTGAATAAATAGTTTTATTGGGAATTAAATTAGAAATTAGAGCTGTTTTGTTACCTTAAAGCTATCTCCCGTTTTACCTACACTTGCCGCTTCATACTTAGTTCATTTGTGTGCCAGGGCCTAGGCCTTTAGCTGCTAAAGACACACACACATACACAGTTCGTGCGCCTTCGACTACATTTTCCATGCTGAACTTCAACTAAGCGCAAATATGTTCTGCATAGTTGCGCATTAAGCCAAAAACTTACTTTTTCCTTTCAGTTTTTCTCTCGGTTTTCCTTTTTATTTTTATTTTTTTGCGTACGCATATCTGCTGGATGGGTGGAGACGGGAAGTGGCTCCTTTGACAGCTGTCAATATACAATATTGGGGATTATGATGGTGCAAAGACACGTCTTACGACAAAGCTTTGTGTCAATATATTAAATTATGGCTTACGGCGGCTTTGCCCTAACTCCCAGCTCTCCCTCTCCCTCTCACTCTGACTCTCTTTCTCTGCTTACTTTTTCTCCCACTTTTACTTTCCCTTTCTCTTTGGTTCTTTATTTCTATATCTGCCTTGACTTCTTGGCTTCTTTTTTCGCGTAAATCCTCCTGCATAAATGCCTAAGGGCCGACTGAATATGGATGAAGCAGGCAAACTTGTTTTATTCCAATACGTTTCACATTCATTTAAATCGAAAAGATTATTTATTGGCTCAGAAGTATCAGTATATCAGTTTGCAGCAGCATTTCAATTTGAATATTGAGGATTTTATTCAATGAAGATGTTTTAACTGCACTTGAAATACATATTCATTAAAATATAAATTAATTTACAACTAATTTGAATTTGGCACTCATCTTCAACGATTTAATGTTTGCAATTTATGTTAATTCAAGTCCCTGGCGGCTCTCGCATGGTTAATCAAAAGCGTCTTTAATCTTATGTCAAGTTATGTAAATAAACAATTACGAGCGTTTATGTATGCACACTCCTACAAGCACACTGGCACACACAGGAGCACAAATTTTGCGGCTTAAAGTTAATTCATTTCGCAAGTGTTTGCCTAACCTGGCATTTAAACAGCAGCTAGTGAGATGTGGGGCGAGAACACCCCCCAAATGGGTTCGCTTATACCATTAGCAGTGCTACCTAAATAAGTAAGTAAATTCGATATAGGCATATGCAAATACATACGTACAAGTGTGTGTCAAGAGCAAACAAAAGCGGAAGGAAGCGCGCTCAGAATCAGTCAAGTGCAAACATTTCAATTTGGGTAAACTGATAAGTCGCATTAATGTAAACTTAACGTGGTCGAAACAAAATAGGGACGATAACTCAAACACATCTCTTGATTGAAAGCTTAAAGCAGTCGTCCCACGCTGGTATTCTTTCAATCCCACTCCCCTCCTCTCAGCATATCGATTACTTTGCTTCTAATGCACTTTGCAGTTCCAGGACTTCAACCTTCGCCAGCAACTTCAACCGAAACCGTTTTCCACAAAAACTTTGCACGCCCCAAGGAGAAGGAATAGCAGAGATTTAGCTGACAGAGTGCCCAGCTTGAGGGCGCAATATCAATGAAATATAGGAAAATAATATCAAAGAAATTTATAGCAAACACAAAGATTAAAGGGAGAATTATTGTAATGGTCAGGAAATTAAACTTCGTATTTTTGTAATGTACCTTAAAATGCATTTAAATAGGCAACTGTTGATGTCGATTATTAAGCGCAAACATATGCAGCTATTTACATGTGGCCGTTGAACATTATTTCGACAAATAAAAATGTGTTTTGAATGAGTGGCTTAAGCACTCCTTTGGCACTTCCCTTCCGGCAATTCCTCATTTCGCAGGATGTTTTATACACATGTACAAATGTGTGTATGTTTGCACTGATAATTGTTCTGCTAGGACTTTGTCGTTGTCATTGTCCGGCCAATAAATTGTTGGCAGCTGCATGTTTGTTAAGCCCCACCCACACGAGGCCCTTTCCCTCGCTGGTAAGCCCCTGTCGGTTCTGTTTGCCTCCTGGCAATGGACAACACTGACTCATGTCCGTATCCTGTCTGCTGCCGTCCTGTCCCTTCTGTCGACACTTCAACTGCTGTACTGAGCTTGGGGCGAGTTATTTATGTTGGGAATTACAGTTTCAGCAAAAACAATTATTTTTTGGAGGCGAGCATACGATAAATAAGATTTCCATCTTTTCGGCATGCACTGAAGAAACCGTTTACGGCATGCATTTGTCGTAGCTTTCATTTTGAATTTGAATTTCCATAAATTGGTGAATCACAAAATGCTCCCTTAAAGGCTCTTGCAATAATTGAAATATCCTTATTTAAGCTCCTCCTCCTCCTTTTGGCTTAAGCCACGGCGAGAGCCGTCGTCCAGCTGAGGCGGCCAAGGGGCGATGCCTTTTGTCTTAACCCAAATTGTTCGCCATTAAGCCGTCAAGTGCTAAACATGCAAGCGATTCTGAATTCAGTTCTCCTCTGCGCCTCTCCTCCTCCGCTCTCTTTCTCCCATTCGATTCGCGTGCCACAGTATGGAAAACGTCAGAGAGAAATGTGCAAAGATAAAAACGAACTTTGCATATTTACAAACACTGTCAGACGTGGGTTAAAGTCCATTAAAAAAATGGTGTGAGATGAAAGAGGCAACAGGGGCAGGAAAAGGGTTTAATTTCAATTTTCACTTGACCATTTTTGCAATTCCCTTACAGAGGGCATAGAGGAAGGCCTATGAAAGTTATCACTTGGGTTCGTGGCTTTGATTTATTACCATTATTTATTGTTCTGTGGAAATAGTTGAATATTCTTTGAGCCATTAAAAAACCATTCTTAGTGATGCATGCATCCAATTCCATTGATATCCTTAGCTAAATATCTTAAAGTGCATTCTGAAATATGAAAGAAGCTAAAATATGGTTGATCTGATTACATGGCAATGGCATCCGCTTTAAGGATATTGTCATTCCTCTGGCCATACAGCAAAGTGGAAATGTGCGAGAAATAACAAGCGAAAGAGCAGCAAACTGTGACTGCTGAACCACGGGCGGTGGGCCATGGCATGCCTGCAACAGCCACTATAGTCGCATACTCTCGTACTCGTATCGCATCGCCCCGAAGAACTTGACAAACATCAAGTTGGGTTGCACTGCCACATGTCCTTGCAAGCAAACGTATGTCTGTATGTTGCCCTATGCTCATGGGTGTGTGTGAGTGTGTGTACACATGTCTGTGCATGCGTGCGCGCTAGTGTGCTTGTGTTTGTCACGCTAACCTCAAAATTGCCGCCAACAATTTAACAAGCAGACGTTGTGTGAAAAATATGTCAAACAGAAGGCGAAGGCGCGGTGGCGGTGGCGGCAGCGGTGGCGGTGTTGGCGTCGGAATTTCGTTCCTTTCTCTCATTTTTTGGCCAGCTTTCATACGAAAATTGCGTTAGCACACAACACACACTGGGATACGCAAGGACGCAAGGACACGAGGACACTCAGACATGTCCCCATAGTCGAATTACCAACATAAAAAGCGGCTAACAGACACACAAGCACACACACACATACAGACAGACACGCTGACACCCATATATACCAGGGTAGGGCAAACATTTTCCCAGCCACTTTTGAATTATGCATGTCTGCCACACATGACTCGAGTCCCTCGCTTCTCTTCCCGCTCTCTCTCTCTCTCTCTCTGTCTCTGTCACGAAGAAAAATATACATATTCACCAAAAAATAAAATGACAAAATATGCAAACGGGAGAAGGCCCCCCACAAACTATTCCTGGAGTTTAACCAGCGTGGGGCTCAGCAAAGCAGGAAGGATGTGTTTTGATATTATGGTGTCCCAAGCCTCATAATGACTGACGCCCAGACTCCTTTACCGAATGCAACTGCGAGTCCTACTTTGATTACCCACAGAGTCCACAAGTCCAGAGGTAAGGTAAGCCGATCATGGGCCTCAATCTTGGCACAAATAGACCATAGCAGAAAGCTCATTTCAAAATCAATTAGAAGCCCATCGCATCAGGAAAATCTCATTTGCCTGGCATCATTTATGGCTCGCAAATAGGGAAAACTCAGTGCTAGCAATTCAAAGGGTTGCACCAGCAAGCCAAGCAAAGAGATCAAGTACCCTCCTCCCATACAGCAACGTACGAGTGAATAAATGATACAAATTGGTTACCAATCAATAGACAGCACTGAATCTAACAAGCCCATAATGTCACATTCATTCGTCCTCCTGTTGCAAATACAATCCTACTAACAGTATAGAGAGAGGGGGCGGATGGGGCAGTTTAACAGCAGCAATCAGAAAACAGTAATTAAATGGAAAACGCACTCGAAAAGTCAGCCGAGTCAAGGAGTAAGAGGAGCAGGAGGAGCAGGAGGAGCAGAAGGAGGCACAATCGCGTGACTTTGAGGCCACCCCCAAGCGCTCACCAAAAATACACACAAGCAGCTATACTCGAGTGCTGCTCAAGTATGAATTTATGTATACGAGTATATTCTTGTACTTGTACATGATTTCTTTTTTTATAATTTTAATTTGTGGCAACCTTGGCCCAAACGATGGCCTTGACAGGGGCCTGAAACTGGGACTGGGACGGGAGATCGCTCGAGTTGATTTTGAGTTTACCGTGTTTGCTGTTGAATAATAAATTCAGTTATTGATTTCCTTCCAAAGCAAAAAAACAAAAGAACCCAGAAAATTAAACTCAAACCGGAACCGGATGATTGGATGATGGGATGACGGCGCCCACAGACTGTGCAACTTTATGGACTCGACTCGTTTGGGGGGTTGGCTGCAAATGTACTCATCTGGGGGCTGCTGGAGTAAAGTTCTTTGGTTTACTTTATGATCTTGGCACTTGTTGTTTTCACTCCCTAAGAACAACATCATTTTGGCCAAACAACAATCAACTACTGGCCCTTCCCCGCCACTGCCCCTCCCTTTCGAAGGGATGGTCATGTATTCATGTGTCAGTGGAGAGCAGCGGAAGGAAAAGGAAAAGTGTTGGCAGGAAGCAAAACTTAT